TGGGTCACAGACTGTACCAGATCATGTATTGGCAAGCACACACAAGAATCATATCTGGGATCACCTCAAATAATGTTTTTTTGGAGATCTCCCCAACTGAACTGCTGGATTCAGAACTCCAACCATGGGGAGAATTGCACGTTCTGTGGTCTGACTGAGGAGTGCATGTGTCAGAGCTGGGCCTCCTCAGTGGCTTAGATGGAGCAGTGGATAACATATCCAGATGCACATGGAGGATATGGCAGCCCATTGGAGCCTGCAGAGGATACCTGGTAGCATAACAGAAGACAGAGGACAGAATAAATTTATCATCTACCCTTCTAAGTGTTTGGCAGTGAATATCTGGACAAATAGAGACTCTAAGGTGGACTATGTCAGCCAATGGATGTGGAGAGATTTCATCATGCTTGGAGTGGTGAGGTTGACAGCAACTCAGGAACTATTGAACTATCAAAACCACCTGAGCAAGACGCTTGGAACATGCCCCTCATCGGGGACCCTGGGATGACACTGAGTGGCTGTTCCCCATCCCAGGGTATGGAGGCGGTTGGGAGGCTGGGTGCAGCTTCTCCTCTTATCCCTTCTTCCCCCAGATACAGGAAGACAGAAAAAGAATGTGGAAACAGTGGTCTCACCCACTTTCCCCTAAACCTCAACCCTTCCCACCCTAATCAACTATGTAAACATCAACGAAAAATGTAAACAAACCTTTATTTACATCCCTGAAGACTGAAAATATCATTTAACCCAAATTTTCAACTTAAATCAGAAGATTTGGACTCAGAAACCTAGAATTTAAATCAAATTCCTTCTCCAGGAAAGGGCACGAGGTTCTCCCTTGCAGAATGGCCCACCCACCTATATGCTTTCCTGCCTCTGCCTTGGTCCCCAGGTCCAACCAGCCTCCCACTTCCTCCACAAAGCCTTCCAGTTCCAGCTTCCTTATCAGAAGAGTCCTGTGCTGTGAGTTTCGCCAGTGCATTCTCACAGGTGAGCTAATGGGTTGCTGCTCCGTGTGCCTTGTATACAGGCAAGCACAGAGTGTGACCAGCAAATTAGACTAGATTTGGTTTTGTCTTGAAAGGCAGGAATGGACTGATTGCACAACTCACAACATAACTCAAAGTCCTCCAGAGGGAGCCTGCCCTGAGTTAGAGAAGCAGGAACATAGACTCTGGAGTCTGAGCTGCAGCCAAATCTAAGCCCTGAGATTTACTTATGTGGATATGTTAGCCAGTTCCACTGATCTCCCACATCCTGCTAAAACAGGCAGGTGTGGGCGTGAGAATACATGGACGGGGTGATTGAGCCCATTACTGGTAGATTGAATCTGACTCTGGGAATGTTAGGATTGATAATAAAAGGACTATTAGAGTAACCCAAACATTCAGGAACTCCTACACATAGTACAGGAAAAGTATAGGACAGAGGCACTCCTTCGGGTTCATTTAAGTCATCATCTAGTGGCATCTAGCACAGAAGTTAGGAGCCCTATGGTTTGAGTGTTTGTCCTCAAGCATCCGTGTGTTGGGAGCTTGAGTCTTGGTGGGGCTATATGCGAAGGTGGGGTCTTCAGAAGGAACTGCTGTGGTTCTCATGGGCACTGGTTACTTCTCAACAGCAGGAGTTGGCATGAAGCAGTAGGCCTGACTCCTGACCCATCCTCCGTTCACGTGTGCTCCAGCTGTGATGACATCCACCACCTGTGGCAGCTGGTTGAGATGCAGGGATGGAGAGGGGCAGCAAACCCAGGACTGGTACCACGCTTTTCGGACTTTGAGCCACCAAAACCGTGGGCTAAATAAGCCTCGTTGTATCTCATTTTAACAACAGAGAATGAGCTAACCAAGGAGCTCTAGCTTTGGACTCAACTTACCTGAGTTCAAATCGAAGCCATCAACATTTGATAGCTCTGTGGCCTTGAGATAATAACTTAGCTGCCCTGTGGCTCACCGTGGTTATGAAATGGGGTCGTGGCTTCCTCCCTTGTGTTCGGAGTGATGACTAAGTGAGAAGTGTCTGAAACTGATTTATTAGAGAGCTGTCCTGGACAGGATGTTAGCAAAATGAGCTGGAATTACTTCTCTCCAATGCCCTTCCGACCCTTTTCTGCTCTATTTTCTTCTTTAGCTCCTAGACTAATTCCCCAGACTAAAGCATCTCCAAGGTGAAAGGGTCTCCATGAGGCTCACAACTCCCGCTAGAGAGGAAGCAGAAGTGGAATTCCTCACCACTCACCCTCTCTGTCTTCTGCTCCTCCTCTCCCACACAGTGCCAATGGGGTAAGGGAAGGAGGAGGGAGGAGAGCAGAGAGGCCTCAGTTGCTGGTTTACCTGGAAGCTCACCTTGGCAATGGTGGGTGCTGAGTGTTAACTTTCTCATGGTGGTGGTCTTACAGGTATGCTGCAGACCCTGCACCCTCACAGGGCAGGCCCTCTGAGCAGAATCTCCTTTGAAATAATCAAGACCAAATAGTTTCACACTCATTTTGGCTGACAGCAAGCATCTCTGTCCCCGCTCCAGGGGGGAGGTCCCTGCCCTTTTCCTTGTTCTGCCTTAGGGATCCCACCCCCTGCCCAGCCAGCATTCAGTCTTGAAGGCCAAACTTTGACCAGCACTGCGAGCTGGCAAACTGCTAAAGGAGGATGGCACGATCTGGACACGGAGAGAGTTTAGCTGCACATCTGTTCTCTGTTACATGCCAAATTCCCTGTTGTTGTGACCATAAAAACGTCCTCTAGGGGGCAGAATGGTTCTTCATTTGAAAATCATAGACTTGCGCAATCCAGGAGAAAAGTGAACCAAAAAAATTCAGTGTTTTCTAATTTCCGGAAAAAAACTTTATAACTCCCCGGACATTAGGCATAAGGAAGTTATAATTTCTCCCCTTCTCTAAAAGCTCCCTAACCATTTTCACAATTATCCCATAGTTTCTCTTTTGTAGCCTGGAGAAGAGAAGCAATGAACCAAAAGAGGCAAGGTCTGGTTTTTCAATCCTGAACAGTCTGTTCCGGGCAGGATGTGTGCGGGCAATGGGGAAAGGAGAGGTTCGTTGCGCTTTTTTACCCAACAGTTATGGCGAAAGGAAATAGAGTCTGAGGACATTGAAGGGACAGATTAAGGACTACATTGAATATTACTTTCAGGGATAAGCATACCTAAGTTTTTAATGCACATTATATTAAGAAAACTGCCCTTCACATGAAGATGTGTTACATACGCACACCTTATTTAACAAAATTACATCTTGAGGGTGGGTGCAGAGGGCAAAGGGCTGGAGAAGGGAATGATCTAGTGCAAGGTCCCTGACTTCGGCATACCTTCCAAAGGGCCAAGTCATCCCAGCCTTTCCTTCCTTCTCCCCTAGGATGAATGGATCAAGGGAGGACGAGGCAAGAGCTAGTGGCTCGGAAGGAAGTGAGGCGGGTAGTCGAGCTCATTGCCCTTGCTCCTTCCCAGCCATGCCAATCCCCAGGAAAGCACTTCCATTCAGGGATGCTTCTGAACATAGATGACTTCATTCTCTTCCCAAACAATAAACCTAACTTAGCCGGGGGAAATAACATGTGATTTAACAGTATTTTATTGTCAGCTGCATAGCAGAAGCTCAATAATGAACCTCTGCAACAAGAAGAACCCGTATGCCATGAGTGCTAAGGCAGAGACTGGAGGGAATGTTAGCAAATCTGAAAGACATAGACTCCTTGGGGGATGAATCAATAAACAAACCTGCCATACAGTTAATCACATGTACCTCAAACATTATTCATGTAAGCGACAAACTTTGAAACTAAACCCCACAGACTCCGAAAAGATACATGTCAAGCCAGTGTAAGCATAGTTTTACTTAGGTTTTCTAAAGATGCCAGGTTCTTTTATTATCCCACTATCACATCAGACCGAGACAAGTTCCTTCCACACATAAAATTATTTATTGGCAATCGCAAGAGTCTTGGTCACTTCAGTTTCCTGGTATCAGACATCCAAAACCACTCAGAAGCCCCTGCCGCCAGCTTAGCCCCACTAATGACCAAGCGGACACCTTGCAAAAATGACAATTACAAATAAGAACTGAGCTTTCTTTGGGGATCCTATGCTTTCACAACTAAAGTATCTATCTCCATATCCCACATTCAAGTATCTAAAACATAAAAAAAGTACCCACCAACAAATCTCTAAGATTTTGTCAGCTCATTTGCCAGCAACATCTGACATCTTAGGGTTAGTTGAAGTCTTTATTTTATATTTTGTCATAGAAATATAAGGTGGTGACATGCAAGGTTCTGTCTGACTCTACCAATAGAGTTGAGACATAACATGTCATATGCATCACATATTACCTTTCTAAAATCATTTTTTAAATTCAGCTGGAATAAAAAAATATCTATTTCCCAGATGAATTTCCTAGCATGAATATATGCCCAAGTTCCTCTGGGGGAAGAGCAATTCTGGGGGTCGCAAACACTACAGTTTCTTCAGTTTTTCCAAAAATCAAATTGTCTAGAATTTTCTACATCGCAATGAAGGAAGGTGAAGCTCTAAAGGTAAGTCCCCCAGAGCAGCCTTAGTCTTTTTCTTTGCAGAAGACTATTTCTGCTTATAACCCCACAAAGCCTGACAAATACAGGGTTAGGTGTATTTTTAAAAAATTTGCCCAAAAAAATGGAATTAAAAGGTGAGTTTATTTTTGCTGCATAAAAAAAATCCAAAATCCGGACAGTATTTTTCAAAATACTCATTTTCCAAAACCATTTTGAAGACCCCTCATAGTGAATAAACATTTTTATTCTAAGAGGACTCCTGTCGTTGTCATCCTCTTCTATGAGGAACAAGAGAAATTCAAAAATCGGAAAGGAAGGGTCCACTAACATGGAGGCTGCCCGGACGAGTACAAGCTGCTTCCTGAGCCACAACATTGAGCACTGGTTGAATTACAAAGTGAGTCTCTGGATGCAGAACTTGTGGGACAAGTCCAGGGGGGTTCAACATGGACTGCCTGCCTAAGGAGAACAGAACTTGCCTAAGAAAACGATGTTTCTAGTTTTGTTGTGTCTAATGATGTAAATAAACGGGTGGTCGGCATTGAACTCGTCCTTGTGCTGTAGGATCCGTGAGCCAGGCACCTCTATAGACTCCCCACCATCTTCATTGATTTCTAAACACACTCTGTGAATGACATGTGACAGGGCCACTCCCTTGGCTTCCGACATTCCAGAAAAATCAGAGGTACTTTCATCAAAGATTGTTTTCATCCCTAGGTTCTCCAGACTAGCTTTGGGATCAATCTGCTTTTCCACCTTAAATTTTGGAATGGAGAGTTTGACTTTGGTGTTGGCCATGGTGCTGGGATTTGTCCACTGCAACAGTGTCTCTGAGTTGAGCTGTTTTTCAATCTAGAAGACAAAAGGAAAAGGAAATTACCATAGGAAGGGAGTAAACTCTAGAAGATCCGACGTAGCCACAATGTTCTTTTGAGGCCAGTTTCAAAGCCGCCGGGGTGGACAGCCGGCTTGCTGCCCCTCCCCACTGCCTTATAGCTGTGCTTCTCTTGCACAGGAACTTGGCAGAGCAGGGCTTCTTTCATTTGCTTTCAGTTACAAGGCAGCTACAGCAGCAGATGCATGGGATATGACGCTGCATACACAACAGCAAAACGGCATACAATTGGATTTTCATATATATTTCTTGAGTGTTTGAAAAAATCTAGGATATTTATGTCATAGGCATGGAAACAAGTTTAATAATGCAAGTTAAAGTCACTTGTCCTTTATAAAGGAAACATGGACTCCCTCAAGTCATTCCAGAAGATCACAGGTGGTAATTACATCCATCTCACTGGTCTGAAAAATGAGAGATGCAACGAAGCACAAAATGACTCGGTCATCACCCTCGACGTTGAGCAAACCATAAATCGCTGCTTGACCTTTCCCCACGAGTTAGAGGTGAGAAAAGGACACAGACATGAGGGTAATGAAACAGCTGACTGTACTGCCACGGAGCAATACTGTACTGGTGTGTTCTTACGAAACTGATGCAGATCAAGGACATGGCAAGGTCACAGGCTGCTGTGGTTCTTTCTATAATAACAAAGGGACCACTGGATTGTCTTATTAGCCTAGTATCATGACTTTCTAGTGTCTACTGTTTCCTTTAGGACACATTATTAGAATCAAAAGAGTATCAAAGATAGAGTGTTGGAGCTAACAAGCACATTCTCTTTTCCATTTACAACTCAGGATGGGGAGAAGGGGAGAATCCGTCCACCACTTTAGCCATTGTAAATGTGCTGTGAATTGGATGGTGTCCCACAACTCACAAATCACCGATGTAGTTAAGATGAGGTCATTGGGTTGGGCCCTATCCAAATGCCTGGTGTCCTGGCACAGGGACAGGCCAAACAGGGAGAAATGCCTGAGAAATGCCCTGGAGAGTGAAGGCAGAGGTGCAGGGGAAGCTTCTGCCATGGATGCCAGAAGCAGCCAGAACCCACCAGAAGGTAGACCTGAGTCCCAGACCTCACAGCCAGTGGAGACAACCCATCCTGCTGATGCCTGATCTTAAGTTTGGAAATCCTGCAACTTTGAGAAAACAAATTTCTCTTGCACTCAACCATCACTTTATGGTGTTTTTGCTCTGGTGGACCTACCAAATTAACGCAATACGTGAGCTTAGCTACTCCTTCCTGAAACTCAAAGCAGTTTCCTCAGTGTAACGCATTCTGAATGGAAAGGCTAGTGTTCGCATGAGGGCACTTGACACAGGGAAGGCAAAATCCGAGGCAGGAACAGGTTGAGGATCAAGACACAAAAGGCTAAGGGAAAGACCATGAAAAATATGCCAAGGAAGAGCGAAGGAAAGAGTTATTGTCCAGTTAATAGAGTGATAGACACACACAATGACCACTGAAGTAGCAGGTAGGACAGCCTGGCTTAGATTGCCCCTGGAAATTCAGACTGAGGCCTGACTGGAAACACAACAGCTGATGCTGGTTCTTTAGGACAGCAGCTCTGCCCGAGCAGCTAGCATCACGCCCATTTGTCATGTTTTTGAACCCCTAGTTTACATTATTTCAATGTTTTTCACCAAGGTAGCTTTTTCTGACTTTTTATGAATTTCCTTGAGACTCAGAGAGACAGGCAGATGGCAGATAGAGCAAGGAGGTTTCCAGTCTGCTGTTTCACCCCCACTAAGGCTCACAGTGGTAAGAGCTGGGCCAGGGTATAGCCGTGAGCCAGGAACACAGGCAGGTGGCCCACGTGGTGGCAGGAACCCAATCACTTGAGCCATCACCATTGCCCCCCAAGTCTGTAGGAAACTGGAAACAGGGAATTAAGTCCAGGAACTTCAGTGTAAGATGCAAGCATCTCTACCAGCATGTTAACTGCTAACCAAATAACTGCCAAGCCTCAAGAGCTTATGTGTGTATGTATCAAAAACTCACAGATCTACAACAAAAAGAATGACCCCTGTTGTAAACTGTGAAGTTCATCCAGTAGCAATATGTCAATATTGACTCATTAAGGATTAGCATATCATACTAAGGCAAGGCAGTAGTAATGCAGAAACTGCAGGGCACAGAAGGGGAGAACAATATGGGAAATCTCTGTGTTCTCTGCTCATTCTTCTAAAACCCTAAAACTACTCGACAAGCAGCCTGGGAATCGTTTAAAGGAAAAAAGATTTGGTTGCTCACATAGTGAGCCACACTGTGTATGTCAGCTGCCATCTTACCTGCTAGTGATACAGCAAAGGCACTGAAGCCTAGAGTTAAGAACATTGCTCCAGGGCCCAGCGCAGTGGTCTAGCAGCTAAAGTCCTTGCCTTGAATGCACCCGGATTGCACAGGGGCTGCTGGTTCTAATCCTGGCAGTCCAACTCCCCATCCAGCTCCCTGCTTGTGGCCTGGGAAAGCAGTTGAGGGCAGCCCAAAGCCTTGGGACCCTGCACCCGCAAGGGAGACTGGAGGAGACTCCCAGCTTCAGATCAGCGCAGCACCGGCTGTTGCAGTTACCTGCGGTCACTTGGGGAGTGAATCGTGAGGGAAGATCTTCCTTTCTGTCTCTCCTCCTCTCTATATATCTGACTTTCCAGATTGGCTATGCCGCTCCGAAGCCAGGAGCTCCTCCAGGTCTCCCACATGGGTGCAGGGTCCCAAGGCCTTGGGCCGTCCTCGACTGCTTTCCCAGGACTCAAGCAGGGAGCTGGATGGGAAGCAGGGCTGCCAGGATTAGAACCGGCGACCATATGGGATCCCAGTGCATGCAAGGCGAGGACTTTAACCACTACGCCACCGCAAGGGCCCCGCCCACTTCTCATATCCCCATGTCCATTTCTCATAGCCCCACACGCCCACTTCCCACAGCCCCACAAAGCCCTTTCACAGCACACTCCTGCTCACTCCTCACCTTCTCCAGGCCCGTTGACTCGTCCTCCACATCCTTGGGCAGCAGAATGAGCATGCTGAGGTGCTTATTCTGAAAAGGAAGTTCTATGACCTTACAGTTAATATCCTCAATGTTCCCCATACAGAACGTGGCCTCCATATTCATCATCTGCACTGGCTTGGTGTCTGTCTGTTAAAGGAGAAAAATTTGGACAATTTACTTTTCAATTACTCTGCAAAAATACATATGTATACACATATTTGCATGCACACATACATATGCAGACACACGCATGCATAGATATTACACACATAAGCACAACTACCCATGTGTGCATATCCAGAGACACATACATGTGTGTGCACATACATCCACACACAAATACACTGACTTACTCTTCTAGCAGTTGTGTGTCATCAAGCTTATTAGGCTATGATGCACCCACTGGGTTCCAGAAGGCACCCAGATCATTAGAGAAACTCCTGTGAAGTGGCTTCCTTTGAAAAGTCATTGGTGCTTTATAATTTCACATATTCTGCATTGCAGAAACTATAAGTAACACCATGGTTGCATTAGTTACATATATAAAATCCTTAAGACAGTATGACTCAACGTGGTAGCAAAGTTTAAGTTACTCTCGATGCCTGTAATTATGAGATCTTTGCTCCTGCTTAAGTCGACTTAAAAGTAAATTTCAGCACAAATGCAAATACCCATTTATATAATTTTTTTCCTAGTAAAATATCTAATTGAATACTTAACTCACAGGAGGACAAAACCCCATATGGTTTGAGTCACCCACTCCTCCCTGCAGTGGTACCTACTCTGGCCTAAGCTGAAGAGATTTGGGACTGGACAGGAGAACCTTGGGTTTTAGTGCCAGGCCTGACTTGAGCAGGTGCTGTAACCCTTAGCAAGTCACGTTACCTCCCTGGGTCTCAGTATCCTTGTCAATGTAAATGGGGCACTGGAAAATTCAGAAGAATGGTTACCACCGGGAAAGAAGGGAGAAAAATAGAAAAGTTGGGGGCCGGGAGAGTGTAAGGAACGAAATACACACAGGCCATGTAGTTGTTATAGTTTCTATTTAAAATATCTAAAATAAGCAAAGCCAAATGTTAGGTTTATAAAGTTGCTTGGGGAAGTACACTGGTGTTTGCTTGACTGCCCTCTCTAATTTATTGTAGGCTTGGAATATTTCATGATTTTAAAAGCTGAGAATATTTGGAAGAAATTGTCTCAAAATCCCTTTAAGCTGCAATGCATTCTTCATGATCCTCAAGCAACGGGCGTCAGACCTGTACCCCCTGGAGCTACCCCAGGCCTTTTCTTCTCTCTGCCGCCAGTAACACCTGACCTCCAGTCCCTGTTACGCGAGTGACTTTCTAACCAAACACTCACCATTCATAATGCGAAGTAAAAGGCTGCGAGAAATTCAGTGTGACTCGCTGTCATTATATAAGCGTTTCATTGCAATTCTAGCCTGCTGACTGGATCTTTTCGGGAGAGAGATTCCAGGCTTCCCATCATTCCTGCAGGAGGGCATTGCTATCAAACCTGTGTCTGGGACCTTCAGACAGTCCAACACCTCTGTCAAGCACAGTCAATCCTCGCTTATTTTACTTTCTGTACACAGTTCATTGTAATACTGTCCGCTGTTAGAAATATTCATGTGACAGTTTTTCAACTTCCCCACCAACCACGGCATAATCAAAGCAGAAAATGTGTCTTAAGGAGAGACGGGAAGACACACAGAGAAGGAGACACAGGAGAGGGACAGACAGATCTATCTGCTGCGTCACTCCTCAAATGGCTGCAGCGTCTGGGACTAGAATAAGCTAAAGTCGGGAGCCCGGGGTTCTGTCTGGTTCCCCTACCTGGATGAAATGGAAGAACGCATTTACAGCACCATTTTGACTTTCCTAAGCACAGCTGTGGCACTTAGGCCAGAAGAGGAGGAGCTAGGACTTGAGTTAGCACTCTAATACTGGATGATGGAGTCCCAAGCAGTAGCTGAACTGACTACATCACAATGCTCATCCTAAATTACATGCATGTGAAAACAGACATTCCTGGATGCCCACACATCAACTTGTGCTCTCTTGCAAAGGTATTTCAATGGGAAAGAAATGAGGTTTCATTAAAAGTCTGGAATCAGAATCTCACTGCATCTGTGGGAGGAGAGGCTAGAAACATAAACAGAACCGACCACCCCCTCTCCGCCCGCCGCACCACATCCTTCTCCAATGCCCAGCCCCCAGTGTGCACCAGACAACTGCTCAGAGGGAGAGATTACTCAAGGACAAGAAGCAGTCCACTGGCAAGGGGAAACGCCAAAACACAAGTCTTTCTCTATGTTTTAAATGAGATGACTAACTTGCCTCTTCCTCTGACCAAAAAAAAATTATTTTGAAATATATTATCCATAGACATAGAGAAAGTTCTACTAATGTCTAACTCCTTTAGCTCTCCAAACCCAAAGGTGCAGATTTGCAGTAAGTTAGTTGAGCAATGTTACAGCTGAAGCAGCTTTATTCAGGGGCAGTCATTTGGCACAGTGTCGTAACGGAGCTTGGGATCCTACCGCTGGTATTGGAATGACGGGCTTTAAGATCCATCTCTGCTTCCCATTCCAGCTTCCTGATAATGCATCCCCTGCGAGACAGCAAATGATGGCTACCATGCTTGGATCCCTGCCACCCATGTGGGAGACCCAGACTGGGGTCCTCGCTCCTGGAGTTGGCCTGGTCCAGCCTTGGCTGCTGTGGGCATTGGCGGGGAGTAAACTTGTGAATGGAAGACCTCCCTGTTTCCTTCTCTCTCTCTCTTTCTCACTCGCTTGCTCCTCTTTTTCTTAAATTAAACGAATGAAGTTTAAAAGCCTTTGATTCAGATCAGTCAAATGTCTTGAGTGTATCTTGTCTTTGCTGCCTTCCTCTCACTTGCCTCACGTTTCTGATTCTGATAGGTTCCAGAGTCCAGCTCTTCTTTTAAATCTAAATCAGTTGAGAAATGATTCTTTCCAACTTGCATGAATGCTATCAATAAATATCTCAGCCCAAGGCACAAGATTCCATTTATATATGCTTATATATCCACATGTATTTTTAATTAATTGTTCTTTTCATTTATCTAGTTTTGGGTATGTATTCACAATCTCTACAATATAACAATGCTCTATATGTCCTTAAAAGTGATCTTTGAGGGAGCCCAGCATAGCAAGTATTCCCCCGCTTGTGGAGCTGGCATCCCATGTGGGTGCCAGTTCACGTCCCAGCAGCTTCACTTCCAAACTAGCTCCCTGCTTGTGACTAGGGAGGGAAGCAGAGGACAGCCCGAGTTGTTGGGCCTCTGCACCCACATGGAAGACCCAGGGTGAACTCCCGGCTCTCGATTTCAGATCAGCTCACCTCTCTCTCTCTCTCTCTCTCTCTCCTTGTTTCTTTGTAACCCTGCCCTTCAAATAAATAAAATAAATCTCATAAATCAATTATGTAAACTGACTCCAAAAACTTTCAAAACTTTTTAGTATTATACAAGGTATTTTCAGTGAATTGCCTGATTTTTTAAAATGTGTCTATTACTCATAATAAAATAATAAAGTGCATATGCTGTGATATAAAACTCACTCTTCTCAAAGTAATAGTTGAGGGAAAAAACTTACCTCATAATCAGATATATGTGAAAACTCTTTTAGTAGTAATCTTATTCCTAAAACCCGTGTTCAAAATTAATTCATAGAAATATTAGTGATTTTAAGTTATATTCACAGCATGAGATGAGCTATAGTATAATCATAAAACTCTCTTTTTCCTGCCTCAATCTTCCCCTCTCTCCTCACTTGTTTATTCACATTTCAATTCCGGAACAATTTTATATTACTTGCTGGTCCCACTGAATGTGCCAGATTAATTATGGGAGTTTGGGATCATATCAATATAGCCTTTCTCCATGAGATTGCCTCAATAGTGACAGGGAACCCAGATCAGCATAGACCCCCTTAAGAATATCACTTGAAATTTAATAAAAGTACATTCAGAGGGTCCCCATTAATTTAATAATTCTAGCTGAAGTTTCCATCAGTGATGTTTTTGGGAGGTATGTCTGAGGTCTTTCAATTCCTAACAGAAATCCTCACCCACCTGCTCAAGCCCACATTTGTGTTTCCAGCCCTTATTTGCAGCTAAGCTCCCTGCAAGGCTTCTCTTGGAGTTATTTCAAACCCAGGACGTCCTATCATCAAGCTCAACAGGCACAGCCACGAATTCCTCCCTTCAGTCACCCTTGTCTGGAGGGTTTTCTGAAGGACAGCTTCCCATCACCTCATCGGGGGGGGAGAGAGGATGAGGGCTACACTGGGTATATTTTACCTTCAGTTATTTTGGCTAATTGCTTTATTAAGATCAGATCTGGCCACAAGCAATCCTGGTTACTAAATTTTGTGCCTCCAAGGGAGGAAGCGAAGAAAATAGAGGATATGTCTTATTACCTTGATATATGCCAGCATAGAACAGTTATTCATTAAACACTGGTTGATAATAAAGACTTTAACTCTTACATATAACCAGAAACAAAAATGATAGAAAAACATTCTACTTTTGAAATTAATTGATCAGTCTCACTCATTTGTCCTAAAATATATAGATTGGTCTACAAATATCCATCAACTTAGACTCTTCCAGTAGTTTCTGGATGTGCACATAATTGTAGCCTCCAAATTTGTCATGAATTTCACTTATCAACAGTGACTACGGGCTCATATTCGCATTTTCCAAAACACAAATTAGGATATCTCCTCTGGAAATAACACTACAGAAGAACTATCTACATATAGATATATATGTACATATCCAAATACATACAAAAAAGTACAGACACTAAACTTCTAAGGATATAATTTCTCCTTAAAGAAAACACATGGACATGAGAAAACAGTATTATCACTCAAAGTTTAGAAGCTGACAAAAGCAACTCAAACGAATCAAAGGAAAAGTAAGTACAATAAAAAGGAGGGTGTCTCCCTCACAAAGCCCTGGGTAGTATTTTATTGCTTTTCTGTGTGAAACATTTATTCATTCAAACACTTATTAATTCTGTGAATAGAGTCTGGGCTTCCAGGATCTGATACAACCTAGCTTTATGGTCAATTAACAAGAATACCACACATGTAATTCCTCCCTTCTCAGAAGACAGTCACGATTACTTCCTCAAATATAAAAACTATAAATGTGGGTGGGGCTGACACAAAAGTTCAGTTGCTCATTTGACTAACTGCCTCATTCTGTAATGTGGTCCCTTAGTTTCAAGACTGAGGTGCACCTTTAAGCAATATGGCCCAGGCTTCGCTGATTTACTGAAGGGTCTTTTGGCAATCATTGCCGAGGAAGAGAGCCAACCACCAATCAAACACACAATGTGGACAGAGTCAAGGCCCCTGGGACCCGCACCTTCTTGAGGAACAATGTAAGGTAAAGCCGCATTCCGCTTCAGTTCCAAATAAATAAGGACATTAAGATCAATGCCATCTTGAAAACTCAGGAGGCTGTGTGTGAAAAATGCTGAGTCTGAAGAGTGTCCTTGGAGATGTGTACATTCAGGATCAACCCTGTTCCTGACACTCAGCATTGGGAGACCACTGCAGGCGGGAACTTAGAACGAGTGTGCTCAATATCAGTACCCTTGGGTGTTTTGAGTATGTAAGGAGAAATATTAGTGGTTACTGCCCTCTCCCTGTGAAAATGTGAAAGCAGTTAGGTTTTGTCTGACACTGACTATAGAATCAAGCTGACTCTTGAAGAATAACTGGGTGTTCATTCAACAAATGTGCAGAGCACCTGATAACATGTAAGAGATGTGACTAGGCATTGTAAGCACTTGAAAGAAGCAAATCCATGCACTGGTAAAGGTCTAAATAAGTAAAAGAGTGGGAGGAGTAACATAAAGAAAAACTCCATGGAAACACATCACACATAATGGAAGCCAGACTAACAAATTCAGGCACAGGCTGGGTCTTGGAGAGCTTTTCCTCCTGGGTTCTAGCCTTAAGAAAGCATCTCTACTTAGCAAAACCAAAAATGATTCTAGGCGCTCTGGGTATTCGAAGAAACCTGAAAGTTGGAAATGATGCCCAGGAGTTATAGGGTAAACAAGTTACCTTTAAGTGTGGGGCTATTGTCTAAATCCTTACATCAGATCCCACTAAATGACACCAAATCATGTCGTCTTATAGAACTTCCTAGGTTCTCCAGTGACATAGGTCAATTTTCCAGTTTCAGCCCTTAGGTTTTACTTACACGGGAAGTACCTTACCCATTTCTAATCAGTCTTATATAACCACCTCAATAGTATTAATGAGACTGCCTTCTCATTCTCCCCCATAATGACTCCCAAGCGTAGAAACGAGTAAGATATAATTTTCTGCACAGCCAGAAAGCACCAAGGACATCTTACAATTTATAAATGAAAATGCCAGAAGCACATGCCTCACTAGCAACAGATGAGATAATAAGACCATAGAGAAGTTAATGAATAAGGAACAAGATTTCTAGACTGCCATGGTCCCATGCTATCCCTTAGGTCTTTGACAGTAGTGTTTGATTTGCTTTCTTGATAATGGCCCCAGTCTTTGCATCTATTTTCCAGGTGATGGTTTGGCTTTGCCCACTGAGGTGTAAGTTCCATGAAGTCTCGCTCGGCTCAGTCCCTGTAGGCATTCTGGAAGGATGGAGGAGGAGCTTTGGTTTGTGCACTTCCTTCCGCTGCCATTTACCCCAGCTTGTCAGCCCAGGCAGTCGCTGTCTTCCATGCCAGTGCTTGCCTCATTAGAATGCATTTCTGAGCTTTTCTCCACTGCCACAATTTTCTGATCCACAGTTGGGATTCCTTTCCTGCTACAAGCTGCCCGCCCTCCACGTACCTTGTTGACTCTGAAAGGACATTCTTTTGTTTCTGATTCGGGAAATTTCTTCATCCACTTTCCGACAAAGTAGGCAGCATTTACCACAAGGATTTTGGTCTGGTCATTTACACTGTCACCTAGAATGTTCTCAAAGTGACCTGCAAACAATTATAGAAGACCGCAAATAACAAAAACACTCTTCCAAACTGCCTCCAATAACCATGTGCATGGGGTGTGTGCCACTTGCTAGGGTCACACATGCAAGCCTGATAGTCCAGATCATCTCATTTCAAAAATACTCCTCCCTTTCCTTCCACATGCCACCTCCAGACTTAAACCTAGAGTATGAGACCAGGACTTTTCATTTCTGAATCCTGAAAAAAGTCATGCACCCTTACCTAACATTTGGCCCTTTGCTCAGTTTTTCCCATATATGATCTCTCTGATGGGGAGATAAACAACCTTCCACAAACATTTAAGGCAAAGACCATTGTTGGCTTTCCACAGCTGAGGGAACCGAGCATGAGACTCAGAAGACACTCTAATCCCGTCAGCTAGAAGGCCTGCCTGAGGCCTTGGCACCTCCCGGGTCTCTGTTCCCTATCCCAGTTGTGTTCCCTGCAGGAAGGTTGCTTGCTTCAATAGTAATGTAACCACCAGGAGTTCATCACCAAGGTAATTGTGATAGAGCTCACACATCCAACAGCAGAAACAATTCAAGTGATCATCCATCCATAAAAATAATTCCTTGGATATGTGTTTGGTAAGATGCTGGTGGGGTGCTTATACCCTAGATCAGAGTGCCTACTTGGAAGCCTCAGTTCCACGCAGAATTCCAGCTTCCTGCTAACGCAGACCCTGGGAGAGACGGCTCAGGGTCCTGTGTTCCTGCTCCCCATGGGGGAGACCTGGGTTTCCAGGTCCAGGATGGAAATTCTCATTAGTGATCATTCTCCTTCTCAAAAAAAAATAAAAAACATTAATTTTTTAAATCCATACATTGGAACAGTACTATACAATTTCACAAAGGACTTCCATTTATCTAATATGATTTTCACACATATGTTCAGACTCACTTCACAGGTCTGAGACATGTATGTGAAGAACTCTGCATCCGTTTTATGTTCTTGGTGTCATCATTTGGAAATTCTCAATACACTTTTTTAAGAAAAGGTCCTGAGTTTTCATTTTTGCAATGGACCTTGAAAATTATGCAACAGTCCTACCACTGATTGTATCATGTTGTAAATATGCAATATGTTTTGAAAAAACTTGAAAAACAAAGTACAGGAGCCAGTAAATCATAAAGCTTCAATTCCTGCACTTTGGATCAAAAAATTGGAACTCTTTTCATCAAAATTACCATCTAGGTCAGAAGTTTGCATGTACCGAGACTAAAATAAAAAGTTCTTTGATGTTGTTAGCAATGTGGCATAAGGGAGAAAAGCCAGGGCCTGCAGTGCCAACATCCCATATGGGCATCAGTTCAAGGCTCAGCCACTCTACTTTCAATCCAACTCCCTGCTAATGGCCTGGAAAAAAAAAAAACCCAGTAAAAGATGGGCCAAGTGTTTGGGATCCTGCCACCTATGTGGGAGACATGAAAGAAGCTCCTGGCTCCCGTCTTTGGCCCGAGCATTGGGACATCTGGGGAGTGAATCAGAAGATGGAAGATCTCTCTACATCTTATTGTCTCTCCCTCTAACTCTGACTTTCAAAATAAATCTTTAAGAAATAATAAAATGTTCTTTGGAAGAAAATACTTTTACCAATTCTAAATCAGAACCATTGCGTGATTACTTCAGGACGAACTGCTTTTTGTTTATAATTGTCTACGTCGTGCTCCACTTGGTGTTAATTATGCCCAAGTTCTTCTCCATCCATCAAGTCCAAGAAACCTCACTTCAATATGCATTCCTTCCTATATGCATATACACACGCGGTTACCATTCGTTAGTATGTATTATCTAACCTGATTCCCCCAACCACATAAAACCTAATCATCTATGATGATTTTACACTTATAAACTATGATTCTGTGTCCAAAAATCAAAGTGGATAAAAGTGGCCGTATCTGAATCTCAACCCAGGTCCTGACTGACTCCTTGTCATCCAAGGACATTTCCATTTTGCTCCACAGAGTTCCACTTTGTTCTTAGTAGCTGAAGCTATGATGGGTCTTAATCATTCATAAGACGGCTCCGCCCACAGTGCCACCCAGGGCTGTGTCTGTCCTAGATGGAAGCGTGTCTCCCTGTCTGCAAAGCAGGGAGCAACCATTCTAAGAATCAGTCCTTCCTGCTGACATGGTGTCTCGCTGCAGGTTCCTCCCTAGGCAAACATCATAAACACTCGCCTATTCCCTGGCCAACATGACAGAATGACTGCTTTGCAATCAAAATTGTCTTTGCTGCAGTTTCTTTCTAGAAAGGGATTTTGAGGGCAGGAAGGTCTAAGAAGAGTCTGGGAAGCCCCAGGCAGGAGGCAGCTTGGCGTCGGACCTGCCATGGGATCCCAGGACCCCGGGCAGGAGCATAGGCCAGTAACCATGATACTGAGGACAAGATGCTACCACAGTTAACTGTTTGTCTATACATACTTTTGCCTAAGACACTTTTTCCTCTTTTTCTTTGTAAGTACAAGATCTGTTTTTACCAACAGTGGTCTCAAGGATCATCAAGCTATAGTCAAATCCTTTCATCTCCAAACTAAAAAACCATCCTCAAGATTTGCCCAGAGTCAGACTTTGTCAGAGGCCCTGCTGGGGCTCCGTGAGGACCTCTGGCAGCTCCTCAAAGAGTAAGGCAAAGTGGGCTCAAACGGAAGCCCCACAACTTCTGCCAAGTGGCAGGGTGAGGCAAGAAAGGCACAGAAACCCAAGTTCTTGACGTGGCTTGATAAGCAAAAATTTAGCTTATCTGTCAGACCACACAATCCTCCAAACATTGTGTGTTTTGGTTTTTTAACAGTTGGAGTCAGGATTCATGACAAAAGAAGTTGTGTTTACTTAGCAATTTATAGCAGATCAAATACAAGGTACTTGCCATCTGTGAGCTCCTTAACTGAGTCATTGATCTGGCCTTTGGTTTCTTCCCATTTATCTTTGAAGTCAACAGTTTCCAATTCCTTTGCATAAGGTCTCTTTGTAGAACTAATGAATTCCTAAAATACATCCAGTTCACAAAATCACAAATTTGAAAATCTCTGGTCAAGCTACTACATTATATTGTTCTAACAAAAATGCTTAAATTGTGTATTACCATAGATATGCTTCCAAAATTGGTAACACTATGCAAATTGAAATCCTGGATTAGATACTTCATTCCATCTATTATGGCAAATAAATGCATTCATCAAATTAGCATTAGCTTTTGAGAAAACCGAAAAAAACAGCACTACTTTCACACTGTTAACTACAAGTATATGTAATTATAATACAAATTTCAATTTCAGAAACATTAAAATATTATATATATTAAATATTTGAAGAAACTTCAAAAAAGATTATGGAAATTTAACTTAAAACTAAGCTTATTTGGGTAAAAAAAAAATCCTGTTTCATAAGTTAAAATGTGTATTATGAAAAAAGCACAAATGGATTTCAAAATGTTTACAACAAAATAAACTACTTCTAATTCAATTTTACTGATGTTCTTGTATATACTAGAACAGAGGAAATACACAGCAGAGCACTCCATAAATATTTTCAGAGTAGCTACAGTCTTAGCCAGCAAATGTAACTATAACCCAACTGATTGCCACAATAGACAGAGAGACGGTGCCACCTAAGAACATCAGAAGGTCTTGTCAACTTGAAGGGCCCCCTGTCCTCACTGCCTGTGACAGGAATGTCTGGAGCATCTTCTTAAGGATCACCGTGAGGGCTCTTAACATCTTTCAGAGCCCAGAATCAATTTTGTTTAATTTCCCAGATGATTTCTGCAATAAGATTGATTGTTTTAATGTGTCTTTAAGCACAAAAATAAACTCACAGCAATATGTAGTAACCACGTCTTCAAAAGATCTCGACCACCAAAAAAAAAAATTACTGCAGAAAGTTCTAAAACTCTTGGTAAAATGTTTAGCTGGTAGACTGACTTTATGTTTGGAAAGCTTGACATTGCAACCATCTAGGCAGGAATCAAATCAACTCAAATATCTCATGTAGTCTATAATGTTAAAATGTTGCCTATGTGTTTCCAATTCTGATTGTAAAACTACTATGACCTGGGATCAAATGCAAAGTGTCATAGCGTTCTTTGTAAGATTGCTTCAATCAATGAATGAACCTCAGTAACAAGATCTGCCCTGTGTACACAGCATGTCACAACCCCAGTAAAGCAAACAAATCCAGTGGGTGACTGATAAAAACTGTCAACTCACAGTTGCTATAATTGCATTTTTTTAAATTAATAACAAGGAACAGTGTGTATATAAACAAACGGGGTAGAGACTTGAAAACACTGTCCCAGGCCATATGTCTGAACTAAGGAAATATGCATTAACTACAGAATTCATAATTCTCCATTCTTTCAAATTGGAAACCAAGATGAAGGATAGGATTTGGAAGTGTTTGAGAGGGAAAGAGAAATCCCACAAGATTCTCTGTATTTTGACCTAAGAAATGTAATTGCATCTGATTTGTATATTCAACCCTCCACTAAGACTGATTTACTTTCCAACATCCCAAACCATCAACACCAGCTTAGAAATGAATTTCACTAATACAGCTGTAGTTAAGTGCCAATCCTGGTTAAGAAAAATATATATATCCTATCTTGCTAATTTCCTCAGACAACTTACCGTGGAAGGGTTCAGAGATTTGTCCACATACAGTCGCTTGATTAGTTTCAATGAGTAAAAAGAACTAAGTTTGTTGACATCCGAAGTGACTGTTTGAAAGCCAAAGGGCACGTCTTTGACATTTTCAAAGTGAAGAACCTGTTTTTAAAAAAAAAAAAATGCCCTTACTCAAAAAGACATTTCCTCTTGCCCCTGAATTAAATACGTGATGACAATCAACCTGCTTGAACACGCAGTAGCCTGCTCACTTGCTCCATGAAGCCAGGCTTCTCGGCTTCAGCACCGTGGGATTTCAAGCAAGTGTTGCGGCTCTGCCTACTGCAGATTGATTTTCACCATGCCTGGTCTTCTCTCCTCCCCCATTTGTATCAACCAAAAATGTCTCCAGACATTGTTAAACGTCCCCAGGGTAAACAGGGGAGAACAAAAATGTCCCCAGTTGAAAAATAAAACCATTAACTCCTCCACCTGATGAACCCTGGGGGAAGGTTTTCCCTTCTTCAAAGTGATGCCTCTCACGCAGAAGGCTTTCCAAACTTGGAACAAGTTTGGCTAATGTGCCAAAGCCACTCTTCAGGTAACCGCACCAAGCCAGCACACTGCACACAACCTCAGCACTGCCTGGCCACACTGATTGGTCCAAAGCAGGGTATAACTCTACACCTAGAGATGGGTAAGGGAAAAAACTGAACAAACTGATACTGCTTATGAGCCAACTGGATGTACTGAGGTCATCCATTACATAGAAAAACAGAACCACTGTGAGGAAGTCCTTCCTTTTGGCCCTTCTGTACTGAAAGACAAGAGATGAGGAACAGGGAGGTGGTTTAGTGATGGTGGGATTGGGGAACACAGAGGACAGATAAGCAAATGTAGCTTTTCTTCCCCAAACCAAAGACTTTTCTTCAAGCTCTACTAATTTTCAAGTTCTTGATCCTGAGCTAAATAAGATTTTGTGGGCCGAAGTCTTGGGGATTTAAGAATATAAGGTGTTTCCTTTTTCAATGTTTTTGAGTTCATGCAGGAAATGGGGCAATTAACCTGAGATTTATAATGTAATGAAACAAGCACAGTCGCCTACTATCCAAAAGTAGGACTTAAGATATAACAATCAGGAAAATAATCTCACTTGAAGGCCAAACAACTTTACAATCAATGAACCATAGCGGTGTGTGTGTGTGTGTGCTGTGTGAGAAACGGCACCATAACCCATGCTTTTGAGATGGAACAGTCAAGAGTATTCTAAAACACATGTGAACACAATTCACATTCTCATGCATCCATGCTATTGGAAAGAAGATACTTACACTGTTATGTCTATTAAAATAAGTATAGACACATATTCTAGGGTAAAATGCAGCTGCTCTTATATCTTTAAGGCTGATGTTCAAAGTACATTTAATTCATGCTAAGTAGACTGCCTTTTCTGTCACAGCATAGGACAGATGAATAGAATTATCCCCTATTCAGTCAAGATGTTTGCAGTAGAATATCTCATAGACATCAATTTGATCAGTCCTTACAACACAGAAGGGGTCAGAAGACAAGTGACTTGTTGAAGACCACCAATGAAAGGAAAGCTTTTGGTTACCTAGTGGACACCCAAGTTCTCGATCACATCCCAGGGTCTGTCTGAAACATGGGTTATGGGACAACTACAGGAGCTTTCATGCTTAAAATCAGACCAAGAGGATCCTAGAAATGGCGCAATTCTCAATCCTGAGCCCTCTGACTGCAAAGTTTCCCTTTGCTTTTTCCCAAGGCATTGCCTGGGGGTTCTAACAGAAATAAGGCATGGGTCTTACCTGTCCAATTTCATTTGCTGTGTCACCTTTGGTGCCTACTTGAGCAAGTGACAGAGAGGTAGAGAGGCAGATTGGAGAGAAGAGCACATTGTCCACTGGCTCCTTTCCACACAGTTGTTTGAACAGGTCAACAGCAAAAGCTGAATTTGCCAGTTGCAGGGCATCCATCACAGCTCTGGAATTAAGGACAGGGGAGAGGTAAATTTCCAAGGCATTTTAAAAGTATTTTTAACTGTATTCTTCTTACACAGCAGCAATTCCATTTCAAGAGCAGGCTTTGGCACAATGGCTAGCACACTGCTAAGGACAGCACATATCCTGCCAGAGAGCCTGGTCTTGAATCTCTGCTTCACTCTCAATTCTTTCACCTGAGGAGGCAGAAGAAGATGGCCCAAGTAGTTGGGTATCTCCTACCCTCATTATCTGAATTGAATTCTTGATTCCTGGCTTCAACCCAGCCTGGCCCAGGCTATTGAAGGCATTTGAGGACTGAATCAGTGGACAGAAAAGCAATCAATATCTGTGTGTGTGTGTGGGGGGGGGTGTGTGTGTGTGTGTGTATCTCATTTCTCTGTGTTCCTATATTTCAAATTAATCAATTTAATTAAACCTTAAAAATGATTTACTTGGCCTGGTGTGGTAGTCTACTGGCTAAATCCTTGCCTTGCATGCAAAGGGATCTCATATGGGTGCCAGTTCAAGTCCCACCGGCCCCACTTCCCATCCAGCTCTCTGCTTGTGACCTGGGAAAATAGGCAAGAATGACCCAAAGCCTTGGGACCCTTCATCCATGTGGAAGACCCAGTGGAGGCTCCTGGTTTCAGATCAGCTCAGCTCTTGGCTACTGTAGCCACTTGGGGAGTGAATCACCTATCCTTCTTTAAAAAAAAAAAAAAATATCTTGCAACAAAATACTGAGAGGAACCAGCTCAATAGATCCAAACAGCAGGTTGTAAAGAAACCACTGGACTATGGTCCTAGGACATAAGGTCCTATGCATGGCTGCTCTGACCAGAAGTGCTAACTCAGGCCAGCTCAGCCACAGTGGCCATGGTCTGGTGCCCAGTGGTCATGCTAGCTCTCCAATGACTGATCAGATAAGAACTGTTTACAACACTAATCAAAATCAGTTGACTTTACTTATACATATTGTTTCAATTAGGATTTTGGTAAGACCATACAAAGTTGGAGTTTTTGTAGATCAGAAACAGTCAAACTGCTGGAATTTTGTGTGACTCAATTTAAAATTTAGTAAATACTGTGGGTTAGTGTCTATGGGTCTAATTGTGTTCCTCAAAATGATATGTTGCAATCTTAAGCTCTAATACTTGTAAACTTGAATTTATTTAAAAATAGGGTCTTTGCAAATACAATTCATTAAGATGAGGTCATACTGGTAAGAAGGCCCTATTTCAATATGCTTGTTGTCCTAAGAACAGGTGAGGACACGGAGACTGACACACACAGAGGGGGAGGATGATATAGGATGATGGAGACAGAGATGGAAGCCACGGGTTGCTGGCAACTCCAGAAATAGTGGAAGAAGCATGGAATAGTCCTCCTGGAGCCTCCAGACAGAACACAGCCCTGCTGGCCTTCCGGAGCCATTTCCAGCCCCCAAATCTGGAGAACAGACGCTAGCAGGTCAGCATGCAGTGCTTTGCTGCAGCCATGCAGCAGGCAGTGCCCCGCTCGGGGGGCCTCATTACCTGGCCGTGCCTACCAAGCAGCAACTCTGTTCCCTGTGTTACAAACCCATACCTCCCACGTGAAAGACACAGTGCAAAGGGTGGTGGCATTTGGGGGGGGGGGCGGGGCAGGGCGCAGCACTGAGCTCTTCCTAAGTGTCGGCAATCTCTCTGGGCAGACACACAGACAAGTGACCAGAATACAGGCTTGCCAGTGCCAACTGTGTGGCATAACCAACACCATGGGAGCTAAAGAAAATAGAGGCTACCTGCAGCTGGCCATGTCTCCAAGATCTTGGGCCTGACTCAGGGTTGTCCCTGGATCCCTGGCAGTTCCCAAAAATGATTTCATGGGGAACATGAAGTTAAAATTATTCTCATAGTAATAATTACACATCATTTTCTTTTCTCCCAGATATTCAGGGGAGTTTTCTAGAGCCCGTACAACATGTCTCTGTTAAACCAAATATTGGGCCAGGCGCAATGGCACAGTGGTTAAAGTCCTCACCTTGCATGTATTGGGATCCCATGTGGGCACCGGTTCTAGTCCCAGTGGCCCCATTTCCCATCCAGCTACCTGCTTGTGGCCTAGTAAAGCAGTCGAGGGCAGCCCAAAGCCTTGGGACCCTGCACCCGCATGGGAAACCCGGAAGAGCTCCAGGCTCCTGGCTCCTGGCTCCTGGCTTTGGATTGACTCAACTCCAGCCATTGCAGCCCCTTGGGGAGTGAACCATCAGACAGAAGATCTTCCTCTCTGTCTCTCCTCCTCTATGTATATCCGCCTTTCCAATAAAAAAATAAATATTTTTTAAAATAATATTAATGGCCCTTGCCAAAATGAAAAAGAGTGTCACTCATCTCTATATTTTGAATTAAAAAAAAATTTTTTTCCCATTGCAGTGTTATGGGAAATGAAAACTCATTTCAGCATGACATAATTTCATTATTGTTTTAAATAAATCAAACAAGCAAACAGTCAGTGACTCCAGAAATCCTCCTCCTTCAAGTGCCTCTTTCCCACTTGGGTACCAGTTCATAGCCCAGTTGCTCCACTTCCAATTCAGCTCCCTGCTTATGACATGGGAAATCAGTGGAAGATGGCTCAAGTCTCTGGGCCCTACACTCAGGTTAGGAAACCTGAAGGAAGCTCCTGGCTTCAGATTGGCTCAGTTCTAGCCATTGAGGCCATTTGGTGAATGAATCAGTGTATGGAGATCTTTATCTCTCCTTCTCCCGGCAAATCTTTGAAATAAAATAAAATTAAGTAGACATTTCAGTTTTTTAATAACTCCTGATAAACTCTATCAATTCACGTTTTTTAACCAAAGAGTTATTTGAGATCCTCAATAATTTTTCAAGAATTAAGAGAGGGCTTCAGAGTGCGAGCTTTTGAGGATCGGTGTTCTAATGACCTAGAAGGTTCTGATCAAGCCCAAAGGCACCCTGATGAATCACTCAGTGTATGGTAAAGCAGTGTGGACTTTTGAGACTTCCTGATCCCATGACGATGTGTTTCTAAGGGACACAGATTACCAGCACCTCCTGTGGGTGACTGGTACATCGGTCAAGATTCAAAGAATCTCCCTAAAGAAATTGAGCATGTGCACATAGACAGGAGAGAGATATTAACACTGAAAGTGGTAGGACACGTGCCCTGGTGCCAGGCAGGAAGCATCTCTACTCAAGGTAACACAAAAGCCTCACTCAGGATCACTGGCTATGTTAAGAGTTAATGAAGGAATACAGTCTCAATTTGTGCCTTGTACTTGAACAGAAATTCCAGATGCAAAGACATAAGTATAGGAGTGAAGGGTGCACCCCAATCCTCAAAATTTCCTCAGAATCTCTCGTTTTAATGGCACATGGGCTTACACGTAGGTGGACTCGGATGCTGCTATCTTAGTGTCTGACAAACCAAGGTCATTAGCAAAAGGACAATGTCTTACTTACTAGCCATCTCCTCCGACCTCCGCAAATCCCTAGTCAAATACAGCAAGTGCTCCCTGGCTAGGCTTCCCATTAGAGACCTGTTGAATTTGGCCTGAAATCAGGGCGGGCTTCTTCTTTGAACAGCAGAACCTTTCTAACTTCCCTGGAGCATCCACAAGCCCAAAGAATGACATTGTAACCAAGCTGCAAATGGACCAACATCAGCAGCATCCTGAGCCCACCAGTTTCTAATACTGAAAAGGGAGGGGGCAGAGCACTTGAACTGGGGTGTCCAAACAAAACAAAACCTCACCAAAGGTTTGGGGGACCCATATAACAAATTTCCAGAATAAGAGATCTGGTGTCCTGGAGCAGCAAATTCCACACTGGTAACTGCTCATTGACAGCTGCAATGTGTACCAGGAATGATGAACTATTTATCAAACAAGAAGCCTAAAGCCAGATCCTGCCTCAACTTGAGACCTAACCCCAGGAAGTACACAGTATACACTTTCACAAACACAAGCACTTCTCCCTAGCACATACTGACTAACCTTGCGGGAAGAGCAACTTGGCACAGGCAACAACACACCGTACTTCTAGTGATCTCTGTTGGGTAGAAAAACTGTGTTTGAGAACTCTGGCTCATCTTTCAAGGGAGCCTGACCACAAACTCCTAGAAGTGGACCTGGCAGTGGGTCAGAGGGTAAGGAAATGCTCTTTTCACCATTCTACCCAACTGAAGCATTATTCATTCTCTCATTATAACATTTTGAGACACATTGAGCCTAAATGACTGTGAACACAAGATCATTGTGGTTTATAGCATGGTTAATTACACAATCCAATTAACACCCACCATGTTGCAACTCGAGGCTTAGATCCAGGTGCCTGTTGGAGAATGTAATTTAGTGCACACCTCACACCTGGCAGAAGCAGGCTTTCCCACCAGCAACAGAACTCCCCTTGGGAGTCTCTCGCTGGGCAGTTATTCTCAAAGCAAGGGGCCAGGCATGTCTGCCTTCCTGCTTCCTGTCCACCTGCTAATGCGCTGCTTTCTTGAAAAATTCTCCATCCTTATCAGGGAAGGTCACCAGTGCCCTCCTATGTGACGGCTCAAGAACTTACTTTGGCCATAGCTGATTGCTACCTCTGTATGTTGCAAGAAAAATCAAAACCCCTGCACACATCTCAGGAAAAAGTATCAGGCTCATATGCAGACACAGGAAAACGCTGTAAAAATTGTAAGTATGGTTGAATTAGCAATTCCTGCACAGGAAATTAACATGTCTAAAAGCTTGAGTTCCAAGTGCTAAAATCATTATAATCTTTTTCATTATTTGCCCTGTCACAGAAATAATTTCTCTCATTTTTAGGAAAGGCACACAATGACTTTAATAAGAAACAACCTCATGAAGTTGCAATATAAGTGCAATTTTAATAACTCACTCTACCTAGGCTTTCCTTCTGCATCACGCTGTGCAATGCTGAACCTTTAAAGTGAGATATGATCTTGGGGTAGATCGAGTCTGGCCGCTTTCTTCATTTTCAG